AGCTGCCTGGTTGGAGTGCTAGGAACTGAACTCAGGTCTGTCAGAAGAGCAGTGCCTGCTCTTAGCAGCTCAGCCATCTCTCCAGGTTATGCCATAAACGGCTGCTGTATAAGCACTGAGGCCTGGACCCGCCACCTCACTATCTAGGTTCAGAGTTTCCAGAGCTGGCTGCATATGGCTCTGCAGCTCTAAGTTCAGAATCTGTTGCTGATGCTGCGAGCTGGAGACTGGCCTCTGGGATCCAGCAGGTCCAGCAACTCTCCAGATGTCCAATGCCCATATCCAACTTGCTTGGCATTTCAAATTCTAAGCCAAGCAAACTTCCTTACAACAGCCAACTTTGGCACCCACATAATTGCTAGAACCCTGTATTGGGGCCCAGTGCCGGGAACTTCTGTAGGCACTTGATTTACAATATCTAAATGCCCAGAAGACACTCTTGGAGGCGATATGACTTGCCTATGATCCAGCTGCTACAAGTGGCCATGAATCCAGCCAATTCAAGAGGCTGATTAGACCCCACTGGAGACTACCCATTCTTTCATCTTAGATCTAGGAGAAAACAGAAGGTTGTCGAGGGCAAATCCTTTACTAGTTCAGGGGCTTATTTAACTTCAGGGCTGAGATTTGAAGCTAGGTTTGGGGGTCACTCAGGACATGTAGGAGACTAAACTTGAGGACTCTGGTTTACTCTCATCACCCTCCTGCCCTCTGCACCCCCATCCTCTCTATTATAGTTGACATTATCCATCACTCCCTCTCCCCGGGAACGCCTTCCTCCTCCTGTTTCCATGGCAGCACATTCTTCCCTCCTTCCTTCTGCTTCCAGTGGTTTTCTCACTCTCCATGGGGGCTCCAGAGCCTAGGAGGAAAGGGGTCCCCAGGCCAGATTGCCAGTCTCCTCTCTCCACTCTAGAAGCTGATGCACATTTCCCTCTGGGTCCAAGGCTCTGACCTTGCACCCCAGCTCTGTTTTCCAGTTACAGCTCCTTGCTGAGTGCAAGGCCCACGGCTACACATATACATTACCTAATTAATCCTCACAGCCACGCTCCAAAGAAAGTCCACTCCACAGGTAGGGAAACTGAGGCTGTGAGAGGCAAAGCCAACATCAGATTCTAGCCTTCATCGTGAGTTGAGGCTATTGAGAAGAGCCTGGAAACTGTAGGGCATTTTTAAACCAAAGGCAAAATCTTTCCTCCCACCTCCTAGAGAGAAAGGAATGGAAATTTTGGGGAGGAAGAGACCTGTGATAGTCTAGAATTACACTGTCAATTTGGAGCTTTAAAAATGCGCAGTGCATGGTACATTTTGAAAGGCAAAGACTTGGAGAACTTAAGGAGGAACAAAAGTTCACGGAAAATTGCCCTTTTCCCCCATTTTGTGAAATCTTCAGAAGCCTCATCCCAGGGTTCCGGCAGCAGCTGGGATGTCTTTCCACTTCACTGATGCCCACAATTCACAGCAAACTTGGACCTGGGGGTTTTCTCTACAATTCTTCTGGCCTGAGTTCTGCCATTCCTGGCAAGGTCTGTGACTCAGGAAATCAGCTTAGCCTCCCCAAGCCCAGTGATCACATCTAAAATGGGGATGCTAGCCAGGTGTGTCTCATGCCTTCAATCCCAGCACTCGGGAGGCAGAGGCAGGAGAATCTCTTGTGAGTTCCAGGCCAGCCTGGTCTATATATATAGCAGGTTCCAGTACAGCCAGGGCTACACAGTGAGACCTTGCCTCAAAATGGAAGAAATGAACAAACAGGGATAGTGCTGCTTTGCCCCCTCGGCTGTCAGGAGGATGAGCTTCGAGAACGTGCATAAAGCGCTTGGCACTAAGTGTGCTGCACCACAGTAGTCAGCTGAGGTTTGACCTTCCACCGCTCATAACTTCCGGTTTTGCCATGCACTTGAGCTGCCCATGCTTTTCCACACACTGTTCTGCCTTCTCAGAAGCCAACTCCTCTGCATCTTTTGAAGCTCCCTGGCCCTTTGCCACCTCTTATAGAAGAATTGCTGCAAACATGTTTTTAGTTAAAAGGCACTTCCCTGGGACACACTCCCTGGGGCTGTCACTGTACTTATCACACTGGTACACCATCACACTTGTATGATTTGCCTCCCAGCACGGGCTGGAGCTTTCTAAGAGGCCTGTATGACTGATTCCTGAGTCTCAGTGCCCAGAGTGCACAGTCTGATAGAAGACTTCAATGTACTTATGTTACCTTGACTACACGTGGTCTTGGCCCGGCCTCAGCTGATCCCAGGACAAATGTCTATTAGTATCAGAAAGGGGGGACAAAGCAGCCAGGTCCTAGTTGGATGTGGTAATATGTGCCTATAATCTAAGCACTGGGAAGGAGCCATGGCACGCCGATGTGTATACACACACACACACACACACACACACACACACACACACAATTTAAATTGGGTTCAGTGGATAAAGGTGCTGGCCGTCAAGCCTACTGACCTGAGTTCAAATCCCTAGAAACCTATATGGTAGGTGAGAACCTCTCCCAAATTGTCCTCTGACCTCCACATGTGCACTGTGGCAAGAACAATATCCTCCTGCACACAGACACAATCAATCAATCAATGTTTTAACAGCTTTAAAACCACACCTGTAATACTAACACTCAGGAGGATCTGGCTGGAAGAGCAGAAGTTTGAGGCCAGCCAGGACTACAGGAGACTCTATCTCAATAAAATAGAAAACAGTGAGTTCTCACCCCACAAAGAAAGAGCAACCAGGGGACTGCAGCAGCTCCAAGACAGGCCTGCCTTGGGTGGGACACAAGGTCAAAGCCCTTGCAAGGAAGAGACACAGCCCTTCCCATATCACCTGCTTCTGGAGTCTGTCCTGAGTATCTGTCCCTTCTGCTACCTCCCGTATAGTAACAAGTGTGTGGAAGTGTCTTCTGCATGATGCCCACCACGCTCAAACAGAAATCTATGGTCACAGCGTCTGTCTGGGTGGTGAAAGTCAGCTATGTGTCTAGGTTGCCAGCTACGGTGGCTGAGCAGGCCTGATGACATCCCCAGGTACAGAGATCCCAAGGTTCTTTGCTTTTAGGGACGTCACGATGAGAAAAGGACTCTTTTTGTCCACCAAGGAACCCTTCCTGCTAGTCTAGTTCCTGCCTCCCTGAAGGCTGGTTCAGTCCCTACAAGAGTGACAGCCTCCAGCTTTTGTTCCAAAGAAATGGCTGTCACAAAGAAAAATGGTATATTGTCTCTCTCTCTCCTTTCTTTTTTTGTTTGAGACAAAGGCGTCAGTTTCTTTCCATCTGTCCCAAAAAAGGAAGAGAATTAAATTTGTTTTTACAAGGATGTCACAGGCTGCTTCAATACAGAGCCAGGGGCAGGTAGCTCAGGCAGTGCGGGAGGCACAGGGGACATGGCAAACAATGTCATCGGGGGAACTAGGATCTAGGAGTGCCTGGATAAGTTTCTATGTCCACCCTCAGGAGCTGGAAGGGGGCAGCTAGAGCAGATGAGGGACCCACGAGGCAAAAGGAGAGGCAACAAAGGACCATGTGAACATCATTGCTATAAAAGCCTTCTTACCTCAGTGCCTTCAAAGTTGGGTCCCACTGGGGCAGCTCCAGTCCTGAGAGTCACTGACACCAGACATTTATCTGATGAGCAGCCAGATGCTGGAGAGAAAGGGGAGGGGATTGGGGATTTCTTCCAGGTTCTTTTTTTTTTTTTTCCCCAAGACAGAGTTTCTTGGTGTAGCTGTGGAGCCTATCCTGGCACTGGCACTGTAGACCAGGCTGGCCTCAAATTCTTCCAGGTTCTTATTGAGGGTCCAAGTATTTGGTAGTTTGACAACCCCCGGCTTATGTTGAAGAGCCACACTGGGGTACTCAAACAAGGTGGGTCTCTGTGCTCCAGTACTGATCCATAGACACTAGGGCCCTGGGAACCCCAAAAGCATCCACCCTCAGGCTTCATGATTTAATGGACAAGCAGAAACCTCGGCCCCCTGCCTCCCTATCTACTCTCCTCCTAACACACACTTTTATTTTATTTTTATTTTTTATTTTTTGGGGGTTTTTTGTTTTGTTTTTTGAGACAGAGTCTCACTCAATAACCCTGACTGTCCTGGAACTCACTCTGCAGACCAAGCTGGACGTGAACTCAGAGCTCTGCCTGCCTCTGCCTCCCAGGCACTGGAATTAAAGGCGTGGGCCACCACTTTTGTTTTCTTTAATGACCTAGTTTATGTGTACGAGTGTTTAGCCTGCATGTATGTGTGTATGTGTGTATACATGTATGTGTACTATGTTCATACCTGGTGCCCACAGAGGTCAGAAGAGGGCATCAGATTGACTGGGACAGGAGTTACAGATGGTTGTGAGCCACCATGTGGGTGCTGAGAATCGAATCTGTGTCCTCTGTAAAAAGCAGTAAGTGCACTTAACCCTGAGCCAACATTCTAGCTCTGCTAAGAGTGACTGGGTTCTGGACTAGAACCGTCTCAGTCCTTCCTGAGCCTCAAGCACCCCATTAGAGCTCCATTCTGGGGACCTTGCCCCAATACCAGGGAGCCACTGCTTCTGACCCGCTGACCCCAGCCTTAAAGGGGTTTTGCTGTTGTTGGGAGGGTTTTTTTGTCTCGTAGATCCCAGATCCTCCCACAAGCACGCTGCCACTGAGTTACACCCCCAGCCCTCTACTTTTTATTTTTAGACACTGTTACCCAGGCTGGCCTTTCCAGCCTCAGCCTCTGGCATGACTGGAATTACACCAACCTGCCACATTAGGCCCAGCCTGTATTCTCTGTATAGAAAAGTTAAATTGGACCTAGCCTCAGCAGCGTGTTTAGGGGGTTACTTAGAACCTGGTGAGAGCCTGGACTCTTCTCCAAAGTAAGGCTTACACCTCCGCCCCCCTATCCTACCCGGAGGGGGACTGGAGGGGCCGGTGCTTATCTGCTAACCAAACCCTTAAGTGCCCTTCCTGACTGACTGCTCCTCTCACCCCCGAGAGGCTCCTCCCCCCAAATCAGAAAGGCTCAGACTCTCACTGCTATCATCAAGTCATAGATCCCGTCACTGCCCCTCCTGGTTTCTAGAGCTGGAATCCTCAGGTCTTGCACGGGAACTGGGTGTTCAAAAGGCCAGAGCCGGAGGCTGTCCCAAGGCTTGAAGCTCTGCCCCATGGAGAGGCCTTGCTAATGGATCGAGTAGAGCCTCTGGAGTCGCCAGCTTTACCCCCACCCCTCCAACCCAGAACCTTGGATCCCTCAGGCCCCGCCCCTACCGGAGACCACCCCTCTGCGCAGGCCCCATTCCAGCGGCCCAGATGGTGGCCCGGCTCCCAGGGGGCTCGGTGTGGCCGCCAGGTCACTTCACTCGGGTGGGGTGCTTAGGGGGGAGTGCGGGGTAGTTCAGGCAGCAGCACCACCGCCAGGGCCGTCGGAGGGGGTGCAGGCAGTGACGCGCTCACGCGCGGTGGCCTGGCGGGCTCGGCGGAGGCTACCGGGTTCCTGGCGGCCGCCGCATGACCCGCGGCAAAGCTGGCGGAAGCAGCGCTTGAAGTTCTCGTCCAGGAAGGCGTAGAGCACAGGGTTGAGGCTGCTGTTGGCGTAGCCCAGCGCAATGCACAGGTGCAGCGCAGCCACCACAAGTGGGTCGCGCCGATTGATGTCTACCAGCGTCCAGACGATGACGAAGATGTGGATGGGCGCCCAGCACACTACGAAGGCGCCCACCACCACCAGCACCATGCGCGTGATGCGCCGCAAACTTCGGTCCTTCTCCTTGGAGCCCGACAGCAGACGCACGCTGCGCAGGCGCAGCAGCATGAGGCCATAGCACACCGTGATGATGAGGATCGGCACCACGAAGGCAAAGAGGAACACACAGATCTTGGTCACCGTGTCCCAGTACCAGCTGGGGTTGGGGAACTGGAGCATGCACACCACTGCTCCATCTAAGCTCGGGAAACAAAGCAAGACAGGGGTCAGAGGTTTGTGTGCCTAAGGGGCTCTGTCTGCTTGTCCCCTTTCAAGATGATTGACTGACACCTAGACTGTCCCTTTACTTTGTGAACTCTTTCTTATGTTTACAGACCCCAGAATCGGCCCTCATCTGGGAGGTTCTCTTCTGTGTCTTCTCTTACAATAATTTATGCCGGCCCAGTAATATCAGTCATTGTGTTAACTCAGCAGACCCCCTATCCATTTCCAAAATTGCTCCAGTGGGTCGATCACTACCGAAGATTGATTTGGAGGGCTTGGGTTGTAATTCAGTTGCTATAGTGCTTGCTTAGCATGCACTAGACCCTGGGTTCAATTCCCAGCACTGTATAAACTTGACCTGATGGCACACATATGTAACCCAAGCATTCAGGAGATAGAAGCAAGCAGGAGCAGAAGTTCAAGGTCATCCTTGACTACATCCTTAACATCTTTAGGTTAGGGGTCTGACTCTAGCCCAGATGTGTTTGGCGTTGGGCAAATTACTCACTGTCTTCAAGTTTCCTTATGGTGGGCTAATAGTCAAATGTACATTTCTTTAGTTACAGTTAGATGTATGTGTTCTCTGTGTGTATGTGCCACATATGCATGTGGAGGTTAAAGGACAGTGTGCAGATCTCAGCCAATGTCAACAGCAACCTGTCATGGGGTGAGGCAGCACAAACCTTTAATCCCACCACTCAGGAGCCCAAGGACAGAGCATCCCAAGTGCAAGGCTAGACAAAGTTACATAATGAGACTATATCCAAAAGTAAAATAAAACAACAAAGCCCTCCCAACAGCCTGCCCAGTAGAAAGAGAATGGCCTTGGGCTACATAAGTGTCTCAGAGGATGTTGTAGGGTCTTGATGCAAGCCAGAAGCTGGCCCAAGGGATGCCCAAGGTCTCTTGAAGACACACAGTAGACTTGCAGCCTGAGAGTTATGAGAAAGGGGCTGGAGATCTATCTACAAAATGTCAGTGGTACTTAAGGCTGGCAGGACCCCTGGGGATGACTGAGGATCAGTGTGTGTAAAGCGGTGGTGCTCAGAGAGGGAGGAGTGAGGTCCGTTTGGCTCAGCTCCCAGCAAGGCTGCAGTTAATGAAGCATATACTGAAGGCTGACATTGAGCCATGGGGACCTGCTGCTCAGTCAAAGCCAATTGCTCGAAGGTTGTATAATGGTGCTGCAGCATCTGCCCTTGTGAGGGTCAAGGCATCTAAGAAGTGTCCCACCAACCCTTATCCCCTTTCCTACACTGAAAATCAAGCCTCCAGACTTCTACCTGGGGGGGACCAAATGGAAGGTGTCCTGAGGGTGGAGCCTTGGGTCAAAGGTCAAGTCCATCAGGTGGCTGCTGGAGAAGCTGAAGCTAAACCACCTGACTTGATTCTTTTCTTTTTTTTTTTTTTTTTTTTTTTCCCCTCTCAGACAAGGTCTGGATACACAATAGAAAGTGGCCTTGGATTCAGGGTCCCTCTGTCTCAGTCTCCTATGTGCTTCCTTTGTGCTGGGATTATGGACATGTATCACCACATTGTGCCTCAATGAGAGAGAGAGGGAGAGGGGGAAGGAGACAGAGAGAGAGAGACAGAGGGGTGTCTTGGCTTGTCTATGAGAAGTAGGGCTCAGAAGATGGTTACCAGTGTCTAGGCACCTTCCCTACATTGTTGTGAGGCCATGTAAGCAGACAGTGTTAGGAAAAGTGGTTGATTCCTCCTGACTTCCTTCTGTGTTTATGTGCTGGCCAGACGGCAATGGTGGAAGATTTGGGCACGTTCCCTGAGAGCCTGGCTACCCACAAACTATCCTCCTCCTACCCAGTGGATTGTAGTGGACTGAGAAGGAAACTTCCATGTTAAGTCCCTTGACTTTGGGAATGTCTGTTACAGCAGCTACAGAGACGAATAAAGATGCCCCAGGGGAGGCACCTGCCTGCATCCCTGAGGACCATTCTCTAGGTTTCACTTTTATCATTTGGTCAATGGTATTGTTTTATTTCCTACTCGTTTTCTTTCTTTGTTTTTGAGACAGGGTTTTATGCAGCCCAGGGTGGCCTAAAACTTATTATAGAGCTAAAGCTAGCCCTGAACTCCTGATCCTCTTGCAAGGCCTTTAGGTATGTACCACATGATGTATGAGGTGCTGGGGGCTGATGTATGGGGGCTGACCCCAGGGCTCCAAAAGTGATGCTGGGCAAGCACTCTGCAGACTGAACTACATCCTCCCATGCATGAGGTCCCTCTCTCCAGGTTCTTACTACACAGCTCAGGCTGGTCCCTCAAGACCTTCCTGCCTCAAGCTCCTGAGTGTCAGGGTTATAGCCCTGTGTGTATTATATACCCAACTTCCCAATGGTTTTCTTTTTCTATTTCTCTTCTTAATTATTTTAATTGTGTGTTTGGAAGGAGGGGATATGATATGCACATGAATACAAGTGCCCACAGAGGTCAGAGGTATGAGATCCCCTTTCAGGCAGTTGTAAGTCACCTCCTAGTGTGGGTTCTGGGAACCGAACTCAGGTCCTCAGGAAGAGCAGTATGTGCTCTTAACTTCTGAGGCATCTCTTCAACCCCTCCAGTGGCTTTCAAAGTGGGATAAAGGGGAGTTTAGCATGAGTCTCCAGATCCTGTGGCCTCTGCTGCTCACTGGCCAGTGACAATCAATCAATCACTCCTTGGTCATTTATCCATGTCCCTTTAATCTACAGTCCTGGCCAGCCAGTCCACAAGCCTATTATAAATTCCTTTTGGCCAGCAACCTACCACCCACACTTCCCATTGGCTGACTCTCCACCCCACCAGCCAATCCGCTCCTTTCACTGTTCTGTGACCCACACCACCACTGGTAGCCACTCCCACTTAGAATCCACAGAGGCCAATAGGTGGTCAGGTCAGGCTGAGACCCATGCTACAGCTCCTCTCTCACTCACCCCGGGGTTGAGTCACTGCCATGACCATGATGGGGACCCCCACACCTGAAGCCAGGACCCAGATGCATATATTGATCAGCTTGGCCTTGGCAGGCGTCCGGAAGTCCAATGCCTTGACGGGGTGGCAGACTGCGATGTAGCGGTCCACACTCATCATAGTGAGTGTGAAGATGCTGGTAAACATGTTGTAGTAGTCAATGGACAGCACAGCCTTGCACAGGAGCTCTCCGAACGGCCACGTTTCCATCAGGTACTTGGCACTCTGGAAGGGCAGTGTGCTGGTGGCCAGAGCATCAGCCAAGGCCAGGTTAAAGATGTAGATGTTGGTGGCGGTCTTCAACTTAGTATACCTTAGAAGGAAGAGCACAGGTAACTATCCACCTCATGGATTTCAGTTTCCATTAAACTAGGGGAGTAAAAGGAATTGGTCAGAGATCCACAAAGGGCAGGACCAATGTGGTGTCAATGCCAGTAATTCCAGCACTCAGGAGGCTAACCCACAAGGACTAGGAATCCAGGACCAGCCTGGGCTACATGAGTCCTTATCTCGAAAAAAAAAAAAAAAAAAAGGTTGGGAGCCAGGGTGGGAGTTGGAGCCCTGGCCCACCCAGTTGACCATCACTTCTCCCGGAAGCAGCCTCATGGGTAAGGATCTCTCTGGAGCCCATGATCCCAGCTCCGGGAAGCTGAAGCAGGAAGATTATGAATTCAAGGCCAGCCTGAGCTACATATGACAATGAATGTGCCATGAGGACCTGAGTTCGATTCCCAGTACCCACATTAGGTGGCATACAACTACCTATAACCCCAGCTCCAGGGGGACACTCACAATGAATGACATCTTGTCTCCAAAAAAGAAAAGGAAGGAAGAAAGGAAGGAAGGGGTCAGGGAATGTAATGTGTTTATAGTTGTGAAAGCTTAGTGAGATGACACAGAACGTAGCCCTGAGCCCAGGGATCATACACTCAGGACAAACGCAGGGTGAGGCTCAGATGCCAGAGGGCTTGCCCAGCAGAGGTCAGAACAACTTTGGGGGTCCATTCTCACCAGCCCCAGGGTGCTATTCTTTATCTACAAAGAATGAAGTTGGGAGTTAGCCATTTACCTGGTCTTTGGGGAATATGATTGATCTGTTCTGAGTGAGGGACTCTGCTGAGACCTTACGCCCTTGAAATGTCCTCTGTGGTAGCCCAGGGCTTCCAGTCCTTTCTTGGTTCCATCCAGGCCTTCTAACCCCCACAACTAGACCATCCTGCTGTGAATTCCATGATTCATTCCCTTTCCTGTCCCCATGCTGTGAGGAAGGTGGGCCACACTCATTGTCACACATCTAACCCAGGGTATGAGCCCAGTTATCAGGCCAGATGTGTGTAACCAACACTCCCAGCCTACTCCATACATCAATCCACAATGCAGCTGGCCTTGCATGGTCAGCGCATGCAGTCACGGTCCCTTATGTACAGGACCTGAGCTGGGTACAGGTTCATAAAGGAGATTGTCCCAGAGTTGCATTGTCATCATAAAAACACAGCCACACTGGGACAAGGTAAGATCTCTCTCACACCTTGACTGATAAGAAAGGGAAAGGCAGGCTGATATAAGCGACTCCTCATGTGTCAGGTTATAGCTCGAAGCGCCTTGAGATTTCCTAAAGGCAGAGCTCCACTGCAGGGGCTAGGCGGAAGGCAAGAGAATACCCGTAATTGCAATCTAGCACTCAGGAAGCCGAGGCAGGAGGATTACAAGTTTGAGTCTAGCCTGGGCTTCATAGTGAGACCCTGTCATAGAAAAACAAACAAACAGAATCTTTAGGCATGGTGGTGTGCACCTGCAGTTCCAGCATTTGGATAATGTGGAAGCAGGAAGATGGAGAGTTCAAGGTTAGCCTTGGCTACACAGAGGGCTTAAGCCAGCCTGAACTACGTGAGAGACCCTCTCCCAACAAAAACCAAAAACAAACAAACAAAAAACACCCACGAAGGACCCTCGCCTGGGTAACAGAAAGACACTAAAAGAGAAGAGCAAGACACTCGGCCGGAGAGCGTGAGGCAGCTCCCACCTTGGCGCTGGGCTGTGGTCCTGTGATCTCAGGTGACTTATACTGTTTCTTTGTGTTTTCATTTTCCTGTCTCTCCCACAATGGGCTCTAGGCTGTGACTAAAGCGTATCTTTGGCTTGCATTCAGAGTAACTATTTGGACTTGAGGTGTGCTCATTAAGAATGACGATTAAGCTGGGCAAGCCTTTAATCTCGGCACTCGGGAGGCAGAGGTAGGCGGATCTCTGTGAGTTAGAGGCCAGCTTGGTCTACACAGCAAGTTCCAGGACAGGCTCCAAAGCTACAGAGAAACCCTGTCTCCAAAAAAAAAAAAAAAAAAAAAAAAAAAAAGGATGAGATTAAAAGCCCCAATTCCAGAGACTCCAGAGACTCCGATTTAGCAGAACTGGGCTGCAGGGTAGCTTACTGGTACCGTGAGTGCCTGGTTGGATCCCAGCACAAAAATAAATAAAACAAACAAATAAATAAATAGATAAAATCCAGCAGATCAGAGGTGGGGTTCAGGAATCTGGATTCCTCATGAAGGAAGTCTTTGGTCTCTGTATCTTTTTCTTTTCTTTTCTTTTTTTTTTTTTTTTTTTTTTTTTTTTTTTTTTTTGGAGAGTGGGGTAGAATGGCGTGAGATAAGGACCCTGGTTAGCTTCAGAGGGGATAGCCTGAGTCCTGTGGATGATGAATTTGAGGAAGACAGGCTGGGACCTGAGTCCACGAGAGAGTTCATGAACCCTGAAATAAGACAGATTATAAGTAACCCTGGTTAGCTTCGAGCTCATTATATAGCTAAGGGTAACCTTGAACTTCTTTTTGTTTGTTTTTTGAACCCTGTCTGTCCTGGAGCTCACTCTACATATATACCAGGCTAGACTCTAACTCACAGAGATCCATCTATCCCTGCCTCCCAAGTGCTGGGATTAAAGGTGTGCATGTGCTCACCGGGCCCAGCTTGGTACTTGGTGTTTCTGAAGGACTAACCAAATTTTCATCTGTTAAAGCTTTTCCATGATAGATCAGAGGTGGGTTTTTTTTTTGGGGGGGGTGGGGAAAGACTACCTCATTGTCCTCCAAGACCAGAGTCTGTCCCAAAATAACTACTATTTGCTCCGGGTCTAGAGCAGCAAAACTTTTTGCTCAGAGCCAGCAGAATTGCGAGTCTCGGGAAGTGTGTCTTCATTGGGGTGCGGATCACAGCTGTGTGGGAGGCGGTCTCAAGCCCACAGCTGACTCGTCTAATTTCTCTGCTCTTACACAGAACAATTCGAGGCTGTTCTTTGCCTGCTATTTTGATTTATGATGGATCCTTCCATTGCGAGAGGGGGCTGGGCTGCTGGTGAGTGGGAGCTGAGGTTGCTGGGGCTGGTCCATGTTGGGCTGAAGGGCCTCCCTTTTTCTTGTCCACCATCACCACACCCTGCCATGATGGCTTCCTTAGGCCCCTGCTCCAGCCACAAAACAAATTGTACCCTATTTCTGCTCTCAACCCCAGGACCTCCCCAAAGCAACCTCTATGTTCCATACGTTGGCTCCAACCTTACCTCTAGGACCCAGGCTCTCCAAACCTACTCTTTGACTGATGTCCACCATGCTGGCTTTCCGATATTCCTCAAATATGCCAAGCCCAGCCCTCCTCAGGCCTTCTGGACTTACTGTCACCCTCATCCCCCAAATTTTGCATCGCTTGCCACTTAAGTCATGTCTCTACTCATGTCTTTACTCATGTCTCTTCCGAGAGGCCCACTCATATCACCTTCTTTCTAGACTCACCACTGCCTCGTGTCCTCACAGACAGAATTCCCTTTACTCCTAGGACTCTGGCCGCTACACTCCCTGAGTTAGAGGACTTGGACCATTCTGTTCCCTGGAAGGCAGCAGGCTCCCTCAGACATGTAACCTGTCTTATTTCAGGGCTCACGTACACACACACACATACACACACACTCACATATACATGTATATAATATCATAAATTTTAATGTTTCTATAGAGAGTCTTCAATTTGTAGGCTCAGATGACCCTTCCACCCAGCTGACACTATAGGTGTGTATCACCATGCTCAGCTCTCACTTTTTTCTTTTTTAGGGTTTTTAAAATTTATTGTATACACACACACACACCATACACACACACACACACACACGCACACGCACGCACGCCTGGATGCACACATGTACATGCATGCTACTCCACTGACGTGGAGGCTGTCAGGCATGGCAGCAAGCATCTTACCTGCTGGGCCATCTCAGCAGCCCAGGGCAGACATTCTTCTTACAGTTAACCGTCTTCTTCTGAATCAAAGAATACATCCTACGAACGTTTCCACCCTTGTACAGATTTTTTCTTCCCTAACGTCAGTTGCCTCATTTTTTTTGTCATTGTCTTTATTTAGTTTGAATTTTTGGAAGCACATTTTGGTCTAGGCTGACCTGGAACTTGATGTCGCTGAGGATGACCTTGAACTCCTGATCCCTCCACTTCCCAAGTGCTGGGGTGACAGGTATGCACTTCTGCTCCAGGCTTTAAATGCTCCTCCAGCTTATGCAGCAACCACCTCTCTGCTTGAATCCTCTAGTTTTCTTACATTGTCTTTTTTTGATATAACCTCCAGAGAAATACCATTTCATTATCTCCAGACACTCTGTTCACTTGTTAAAACTATAGACTCTGGTGATTTATCTTCCCAGTGATTCTCTAAAAGTTACAGTTTCTGAGCAGGGTGAGGGTGGCACACACCTTTAATCCCTGTTCTTGGGAGACAGAGGCAGGTGTATCTCTGTGAGTTCTTGGCCAGCCTGGTCTACACAGTGAGTTCCAGGACAGCCACGGCTACCCAGAGAACCTGTCTGGAAAAACCAAAAACAAAATGTTACAGTTTCTGTGCCATGGTTACAGTGTCAGTTCTTAACTAGTCATATATTTTTTTTTATGTTTTCTCCCATTCTGCACTGTCAACTTGCTGGTCTGCCTGCTTTGGCCTCTCCTTTATCCTGGAGAGTCCCTTCAACTGTCTGGTGAGATGCGACTAAAACTCAATCACTGAGCAGAAACCTGAATAATGAACTGGAGGCCGTGCACGTGGGGATTCATGGGACGGCCCTGAAAACTAGTAGGGGTGGGGCTAGTTGTAAGGGGACTTTCACACTGAAGACGTGTAAATTTCAGTTTCTAGAGCACAGAGGCATATGACGATGATGCAGGTATCTTGGACATAGAGGCAGAAAGATCAGGAGTTCAAGGTCATCCCCTGCTATATAGTGTATATGAGGTCAGCATGGGCTACATGGGACCCTGTCTCAG